AATAAGGCTGTAAAATAGCTAGCAAAGGGCATTGTCTATAGCAACACTCTTGGGAAAAAATAGACTTATATAACATCGTAATTATAACTTGCATTATTATATTTGCTGTGTTCTTCTCTGCTTCAATATTACTGGCGCACCTAACAGGGCCATGAGCTTCCATGCCACATAGCAATGCTTGGAGCATACGTCGCACTGGGCCTTTCTGAGCATGGCCAGACTCGATTGCAACTTTCATTTTAGATGCTAAGCAAGGATAATATTGTTCCTGCACTCTGTTGCACACTGGCCTAGTGTACCAGGAACTTGGGTCCCAAATATACACAGGTATCCTGTTCAACGCTATTGTTCACAGGGATTGTTGCTTTCTTACTCTTTCTCAAAGACACACACAGCCAGGTGCAACACACATAAAAAGGGAGCAGAGTTCTGATCACACAAGCATAAGACACTATCTTGACTTTTTTGAGCTCCTCTGCATGTAAGCACACACATACACATAGCTTCCAGCCACACATAGACACCCCAACTTCCTGAGCTCGTTCCACCTGGATTCCATTGGTGGTAGCTAGAGGCAAATCATATTTGATGACAACCCATAGAAAATAATGGGGAAGGATGGTGGCTGTTTTGTTTTGAGGAGTAATTCAGGATGGATATTTTGGAAGGAAAGACCGGTATTTAAAAACTAGCAAGTAGGATGTGGTTCTGATTTTCTTTCATCTTTTAAACTTCTCTAACCAGATCTTTGTTTTCTTAGATAAGTCCAGTGAGAGGACCTCGTGAAGGAGGGACCAGAGTGACCATCCGGGGAGAAAATCTAGGTCTCGAATTCCGGGACATTGCATCCCATGTCAAAGTTGCTGGTGTGGAGTGTGTTCCCTTGGTGGATGGATATATCCCAGCAGAGCAGTAAGTAAGGTCTGCAGGGCAAAAAATATCAAGAAAAGGCTCTAGTTCCAAGGCCAGGAGGGGTATGTAAAGGTCTCTTGACTTGCAAGCCAAGGAGAGAGTCCCACCGCCCCCTCCCGAGTGGAGCTTGATCCCTGGTGACCCTGCAGAAGCCACCATGTTGTTTTCTTGGCAACAATATCAAAATGGGTTGCTATTGCGTTCTTCTAAGGTTCTTGGCTGGTTTGACTGGCTTCCCAAACTAATCAGTAGTTCTAGAATTTTCTGCTGGTTCCTTATCCATCATCCATTCAACCATCCATCTGCCGTCCATCCATCCATCCATCCAATCAACCAACCATCCATGTATTTATTTATTTATAATTTTTTTTAAAAACCACCCATAGCCATTTTCTCACTTGGATCTGTCCCTGCTTTTTCAAAATTAGCCAGGCTTGCTGTAGAGGCAAGCGTAACTGATCAACTTATTTTTTATTTTAACTGGGCTTGTAAGGTGCTTTGGCTGTAAACAAGTCGAAGAACAAGACAGTACGATTAGGTCTATCGTACAAATGATGCAAAAGAATTTGCAAGCTCTACAGAACCTTTCATTAGATTTTTTTTTTTTTTTTAAAGGAAGAGAAATGGGGAAGAAACCTGAAATCCCCCCCCACAAAAAAAAGGAAGCCAGATGTCTAAACCCGGCACTTCCAAGTCAGTGCCAAGATGACTCAAGAGGCAATCTTGAGTTTAGGTGGTATTAGATAGCAATAGATAGATTAGACTTAGAAGCTCTCCGTTGCATTTCAGGCTGAGAAATTCTGCGGTTTCT